GTACATTAGGAGCTAACAGTGTTTCTGACTTGGTAGAAATTCCTCATTTGCCTCAAATGTTAAACCCATAAGAAATGAAGTCCTTCTTGTAGCTGTGACAGAGGAAGCTTGGGTTTCTACCTCTGTGTTCTCAACACSTTTGAACATGCAAGTTTTGCTACTGGATTTTATTTGAGGAAGGTGATTTCTAATTGAGCACTGTGTGTCTTTATCAACCCTGAAGTATCATTGTAGAATAGYGTTATGTTTAAATTTTGTAAAACCAAAAACAAGTTTACAGTTTATGACTGACAGAATTGTTTAATCTCGCAGACTTCTGAATTACAGTATGTGTCTCCTGCCTCGGGGCGTRCGACACCCATCCTCAAGTGAAATTTTTCCTGTCGTATCCAAAGATAAACATGGAACTGGAAGTGCCAGTATTCAAGCCTGCAGTGCTCTGCTGGCTAAAGGTGGTATCTGCTACATAGGAGACTTATCTTCATATAAAAAGGATAAACTTGAATTTCTGCAGTCAGGTAATCTCACATTTACTGACAAGCAAGGAGGGATACAAAATGCATGAAACAAATGCACAAAATAAGAGTTAGATCTGCTTCTCACCTTATGGCCCTCAAACACTGGGGAAATCTATCACCTATTTTTAACCAGTTTTAAAGAAACAGGAACAAAATAAATGTGTTCCCATAGGCTTTTTTGCTACACAGACTCCATCAATGAACAAAATCGTAAATTGACAATATTAAACAGTAAGAGAAGTGGTTCCTTAAGTGTCTAAAATCTACGCTGTAGCCTTGTAGTAGGCACTCMGATTAAGTACCCTGCGTGTCAGGAAGCGTCCAGCTCTATAAGCATCACCAGGGCAGTAGGTAACTGGGAGTGTTTCCGGGTGCTGTGCTAGGGACTACMGAATGGATAGAATCTATAGCATAACTGCAGGGATTGTGTGACTGACACTCTGTCCTGTCCTAGTGCTGGAGAGCAGAACAACAACACTGTTCATTCCTGGGAGGAAGTATGGAGAAGCAGCTGACCAGCAAGTGACTGTTCCAGTTCAGACTAATTTTTGGTCTTACGTAGACGTGGATGTTTCCTCAAAGAAACAAGTGCAAAAGGAGAGCTCTTTAATTGGACAGCTGGTAAAGCCCGTGCCCAGTGTCCCGCAGCAGTCGTCTGTGTTTATGCTTATTTCAGCTTGTGAAATAATGAAAACAATTAAATTTGCTCATTTTGCCCCAAAAGCCAAAGATGAAGTCACTGTAAATCACATAGCTTCTAAAATTAGCTAATTTCCCAAAAGCAGAGCTGTCATTTTGTTTGGAATAGCTTTCAACAAATACTATTGAAACAAAAATGTACTGCATATATTACAGAGGTTTCATTAGATAACCCTGTAGTACTCAGCATTCAAACTGCTATTCAAACTGCTATTCAGATTAAAGAAAATAATATCTCCAATGTTTCTACAAGTAAAAAGTCATATATATATATATATATATGTATGTTTATTTTCTCTCTGGTCTTCTCTTTAGGACTTGAGTCTGATCTCACCTAACCTTCTAGATGTATTTGGGCTTCTGTTGTACAGTGACCTTCCCTCTTGTCGGCTGCCTTTCCTTGTGCATGGTGTCTTGAAGCAAGCTGTTAATCCTGAGGCAGTGCTGCACAGAGTCTCGCAGCAGTGCACCACGCAGGACTACGAGCAGGTAACACTACTGCCTAGTCAGAAATGCAGGATGCTTGGCAGTAGCAAGGAGCAAGTTCCTGAACTCAGGTTTGCTTGTTTTTAAATCTGTCACTATTCRCTTGCCAACAATTCTCTCCTACCATATTCCACTACCATTGATAAGATCTTGCTACTGATAAAACTAGCTTTAGTACTTTAAAAGAGCCAACATAAATTCAATTGGGTCTTGTTTCTGAAAAACTACAGTAGTTTAGTAGTAGTAGTAGGTTGACAGTATGAAAACAGATGTCTAATACTTCTGACAAGATTAAGTTGCAATCAGCAATAAAAATGCTTCATTTTAAATAATGTGTCAGTATCTCTCATATAATCTAATTGACAAATTAACAGTTTACATAGAGCAGCACCTGATATAAACAAATCATTTTGCATGGCTGAACAGTGAGAGGCTTCCTTGTAAAGACTGTTTGTGGAATAATGTGCCAACTACATTCCTGTGCCACTAGAAGATGTGAAAAATGTAAATTCTTTATTTTCCACAGTGAAGTATTTAAAAGTTGTACCATCTCTCTAGTTTATTTTGTTTGCTAAGAATCTTCATRTTGAACTGAGTTCAGAAGCAGAAAACCTAATTCAGGGCTACTATCTTGCAAGTCGCAGAGTGAGAAGAGATGTGATTCATGGATCAAAATTATCAGCATCCGCGCTAAAAATTCTGTATGTCCTGCTTTTCATATTAAAGAAAGCACCTCTGTACCCCTCTGTACCTCAAATAGAAATTGTGCTAATCTGCTAGAAGCTACAAGTCTAGATGGGACTCCTTAATTTGAAAAGTTCAAGAGTAACATACCCTAACATTCATGGATACCTTTTGTTTTATATACCGATTTGGGGAAAAAAATAAGTGTAAGGAATTTTGCCAAGCATTGGCAAATCAACTGGAAATCAATGATTTAAGAAACCTACCTCAGAAAAAAAAGAGAGGGGGGGGAAAAAAAAAAAAAAAAAAGAGACAGTTATCACAGCTTTACATTGTTCAAGTTTAAAAGAGACAATCAGTAATAATGCATATTATGCCAGGCTTCACTGCGGTCATAAACCAACGCGCAGAGGCCCCGCAGCGCGCTGCGCTGCCAGTGCCACACGGAACCGGGCGGTCTCTGGGAAAGCTGCACAGCTGCCCTCTGTACGGAAACAAGGCCTGCAGGTTGGGCGCAGTCTAGTGACCTGCTTGCAAGGGCATGCTCATTTTCTGGGCTCTTTTCTGCAATACTTTCTGGTACTACATCTCACCTGGTTACATTCATTTCTTAGGATTTCCTTGTCTAAGGCGCATACCAAATTAAGTTTAAGGAAAAAAGTACTTCAAGAAGATGCATTGATTGCCATCTTACTCCTTGAATCATCGCTCACCCTAAAGCATGGTAAATAATGTAACAACTTTAGTCTTGGATAAATCATTTCCTTTTCTTACAAAGTGCATTAGAATCTCATTTGTCAACTGAAGGTACTTGATTTCTGTTGACAAAAGCAACTATTACTAGAGGAAAAAAAAGTCTTTCAGCTAAAGCTTTCCTGGGAAGAGTCTCAGTGCTGCAGACTGCACTCTCCACAGGCCAGCACTTTGTGCTTGCATGGTTTGCATTTGGCTGCTTCTCAGGCACCCCACGTGGCCCAGGTTGAAGTGGAACAACCAGCTTCACTGTTTCTACCTGGGAAAAGGCAGAACGGAATTTTTGTTTGGCTACTTTGCTGTTTTTGTTTGGTTATCTAGCATCACACTTGTAGTTTRCGTAAGAATTTGACAGTGAGACCAGAATTACAATAAACCACTAGGAATAAACTGTTCCAAGTTACTGTTCTTAACCATAGTGCACCCCCTGGAAATCTGGTGGCAAAGGGTCATGCAGCCTGATGGCCTGACAACCCCAATCTGTGTTTGGCCCAGGTCAGTCTGTATTCTGCGTGGCACCCAATGCTGTGTTTCCCTTGGAGCTCCGCGACGAGAATTCCCTGCACCAGAGAGACCTCTACCTCACACAGTGTCACCAGCAGCTGCTCAGGTTTATCGGTGCCTACAGCCCAGGAATCCACATCAGCACAAATGAAGAGTGAGGAGCAGAGCGACAGCAAAGCTCCAAGCGCTTAGCCTAGCTCCGTGACAGACTGCAGGTGTGGAAAATGCACAACTAGAATTTGTAAGTTATTATTTTTAAAAGCTTTTAAATTATTAAGCTTTTTAATATTTTTGCAAGATGCATGTTCAGTGCCATTCTGCTGTGGAATAAAACRTGGTTGAGGGGATTTAGCCACACATTCTGAGTGGTGTTCAACAGCAGCAGTGTCTTCACTGTGCAGACTTGTGGCTTCACCCTGAGCTCCTGCTTGTCTCCCTGGCCATGGCTCATTGAGAGGAGTGCTGCACCTCACTGCAGCAGCCATCCTGGTGGCAGGGGTGTCCCTGGGGTGCCCTGCAGGCAGAGGGAGGGGATCCCCCCCTGGAGGGCAGTGTCCAGTGCTGGGCCCCCCAGTGCCAGAGGTACAGGGAGTTACTGGGAAGCCTGTCTCAGAGCACTAGGGGCTGGAGCAGCTCCCCTAGGAGAGGCTGAGAGCTGGGCATGTTTCACACGAGGAGGAACAGGCTGAGAGGGGATCTTCAGCGTGCACAAMCACCACCCTGAAGGGAGGGTGTCAGGGCGATGGAGCCAGACTAGGCTCAGGGGTGCCCAGMAACAGGACGAGAAACAACAGCCACATGCTGAATCCCAGGGAAGTTCCACCTGAGCTTGAGAAGTCTTCTTTATGGAGAGGGCGGCAGAGCCCCGAAACAGGTGGCCAGAGAGGCCGTGGAGTCTCCTTCTCCGGAGATCTTCCAAACCCGCTTGGATGCMGCCCTGTGCTCTGGGTGTCCCTGCTGGAGAAGGGGGTTGGACTAGATGAGCCCTAGAGGTCCCTTCCAACCCCAAGCATTGTGTGACACAGGGGACACGTTACAGCAGCCACCCACACCCCTTCAGTGCTCCAGTTACAGCAGAGATGTCCACGTTACAAAAGTAGCAGGAGGTCTAAAGCCCTCCCAGCAGATAGAAGCCAAACCAAGTGTTTTTGTTGGCCTCAGGAGAGCATCCAGCAAGATCACCCTGCTGCTGCCGCCCTCACACACTTCTTATAAAGAAGTTTAAACATAAATGCAGAATTTTAGATATTTTGTCATTACCAAGAAGATGCACAAAACAACTGTCACCAAACATGAACACCCTAACTCAGAGAAACTAATACAGGAGAGTTACAGTACACAGGAAAATGAGGTATTCAATTTTTATTTAATATATTGGATACACCAAAAATAATAYAGACAGTGTGGACTGCCAGAGATGCTGACACCATCACTGCTGTGTCTGTCCCACATGAGGAGTCTGCACAGCATCATTTGAGTTTATTCCACAAAAGCCATTCATTTTTTCCTCATTAAGGCTATTAGTCAAACAGCAAAGAATTTACCAATTTGGAACATATGAGGTATCTGATCAACAGTACAGCACACCTCTTTTCAAGTTTCTATGAAAATTCTTTGAGCACTTTCCAAAGGCATGGTATTCTGCAGGAGCCCTAGAAAATACTCATGTTAAATTGTGCCATCGTGTGTGCAGAGCTGCTTCACCTTGACCCTACAGGCAGAGCCTCTCTCTCACCAAGGCTTCCTCCAGGCCTCACCCACACCTCGCACCGGGGCGCCGCTGGCCTCGCAGCATCGCGCCCAGGCACAAGCTGCAACCTCAGCGCTACCKCAATTCAGGCAGCGCTGCCGAGGAGCAGGGAAGCTCTGCACGTGTTTCCAAGTGCACTTGGACTCCCACACTTCGGGCCGCTCTTTTCCATGGAGGGAAAAAGAAAATGAAAGCATTAGTGAGYTTTCCTATAACTTTATATAAGGACCAAGTAAGCTCTTTAACTTCCTTGGCATTTCAGACTTAATCATGCACATCACTGACCAGTCAGATGGGTAAACGGCAATAAAATCATCACGATGCCAGTAAAATCACTTCCATAATACCCTTAACATACGTGCAAGTGCTTTGTAAGTGATGAGCCACACTAAGGAATGCATAATTTTTAAAAGTAGCTTTTATTCTGCAAAACGGGTTTTTTAATCTTTATCACCACCCAATCCCAGCTTCTGTTTATTGTCTTAATCACAAGTGTGAGAACTTGTAACAATGCTCTCAGTTAAAAACAACCACCACCCACCCACCCCACAACTCCGAGTCGGTCAGAGCCCCAGAGACATCCTTGGGTAACAGGCCCGGCCTCCAGCTGAGAAGCCCACAGGATTCCAGCAGGAGCCAACGCAGCCAGCGCCGCTCACACGTTTTCCTAGAGCTTCAGGTCTGCAGCAGAGCGAGCGGGGGAGCCCTCAACACTCACCTTGCTCAACAGCCCAGCTTCTAGGGGTGGAGACAGCAGAGGTGGTCACCCGAGGATGTATCACCYGTAAAAGGGAAAAGAAAATCAGAACAACGGCAGTGCACCAAACTGGGGAGGAAAAAAATTTCTATTGTTTAGCTGGCACTTCAGATACAAGTTACTCATCAAAGAAAATCAGTTGGGTAAACGGCAAACAAGTCATCATCATTATGCCAGCAAACCACCTCCGACCTGCAATGCAGGTGGTGATTTTTTCATGTCATGCCTCTTTGTGACAAGAGAGGCACCTCCAGGAACGGCAGCAGAACCTTCATTTTTGCAAATGGGAAAGGCAGCCTGAACTCAGTATTCTTAGGAATTTAAGAGTGAATGAGGAGCTCATCTTCCCACATTCACCATCAACATCAAAACAGGAACTCGATCTCAGACACGTGAATCATTGGATTTCTAGCGGTTTGTATCGAGGCAAGGAGCTGCCTTGTATCAGCTGCACAGGAGACAGAGGGAGTCACGAGGCAAGTGAAACTCAGAGCGACACAGACACGCTGCCTCACGCAGGGCGCCTACAAGGGCGCTCGGCCACAGATCCAGTCACAACGGGCTGTTAAGGGACACGTCCCGGCCGAGCAGCACATGCAGCAGGAGCATCTGCTCACCCCATCCCTGCTCTGCCCCCAAGATTAACGTGGGGCAGGCTGGAACCACACACCTGGCTTCAGAGAGCGCTTTTGCAGCTCTTCTCAGCGCTACGTACCGTAAAAACGCCTACATCTGTAGCCTGAGGATTCACGTGATGCCTCYCTGCTTGCAGAGCAACAGCATAATGAAGTCCGGATGGAGCATTCCCAAAGCCAGAAACAAGGTCATCTCCAACTCCAGGTGCTACCCAGAACAACAAAAAAGAATAAAACAGGCTTTATTCACCACAAAACTGCATTTCAGCAGCAGTAACAGAAACACTCAACCTGTGTCTACACATTATCAGCCTGGAGATTAAGGTCGAACAGCCCACCAGCCTAGTGCCTAAAAAGCTCCAAATGAAGGAGGTGGTTTTGGAATCGCACGCTGCTCCAGATAGGCAGCAGCTCTCAACCTTCCCTGGCCACGGCGACCTTTTCCTGCAGGTTTGATTCAGGGCTGCTCTCGAGGGATTATCCTGGTACGAGAGCTTTGCCTTGGAGATCTCRGAGAGGCTGGAGGAACAGAATCCCAAGGTAACCAAGGATTTTAAATATATTCCTACAACCTGAAAAGAGACGGATCATCAGGGTCACAGAGACTAAAAAAAAAAATCCCCAGAGGGAAGAAAAAAAAGTGATTTAACTTCGGGACTAGGTCATGCATTTACTGCTGATGAAAGTGACGTATGAAGACAAGCAAAACCAAGTCTGTCTGGACACCTAATGTATGCTTATCTCAAAGCCCGGCTATGCCAGGGAGCAGCTGCAGGCCGGCAGCAGCGCTTGCCCGCAGCGCGGGCCCCACGGCTCCAGCGCAGCCTCGCAAGACACTTGGGAGCCTTTGCCAGCGCGTCCGCCCCGTTCGGGACACAGCCGGGTAGAACAACTACTGCCTCTCGGCTCATGGCTTACGCTGCATGAAAAAAAAAAATAATTCTTGACATTCAACTCGCCGTTGTGAATCGCCGGGCTTGGGCTCCTTACATTATGCGGTAGGAAACGTTCCTAATTCCCCGGAGCTCCAGCTCCGCACCCGCCCCAAGGCCTCTTGCAGCGCTGCGGCCTGGCGGGACCGAGCGCCGCTCCCGCGCCCTCCGCTGCCGGAGCGGCCGTTACCGGCGGCCGTTACCGGCCGCTCCCGCGCCCTCCGCTGCCGGAGCGGCCGTTACCGGC